AATCAACAAATTCTGAAGTGTGGTTTCCGTTTGAAGAAATTACTTGAGTAGGGGCATACTGTCGAAAGGTGGGTTACGCGTTAGCTTAGCTGCTGGCCGTTTGGCGCGTCCACAGGTGGCGGATAGTGCAACGGCCTTCAGTGAAGGTTAGCAGCGAAATAGGCAGGCTCCCCCGTCTGGCGAATAAGCAGTCGCGGACCAGCACCGAAAGTGTTACCAGGTCGCGGAGGGCTGGGGTCTGGCGCACCGAATGCCTCATAAAATACCGCAAGTCCCAATGTCGGCACTGTGACATGGCGAGCGTGAACCGCGATTAATTAGGTTTGCTTGCCACCGCCGCATTGTGCTCAGGTTCTTGAGCCAGACTGCTAGAGGAGAAAACCTCGAACAAAGAATCTGAGTGGCTGTTGGAGACCTGCCTGTATCCAAATCACCAAGATTACTCATGAACATGTCCACTTACGATACGATGATCCATGCTACGGCGTCCGCGGAAACCAACACGCTCCGCAACCATCGTCCAGTGATGCGGGGGAATATTATGCAAGCTGGACTACTCAGCCGGAAACGGACTTTTGGTATTGGATGCTGGAAGTGCGAACAATTCGGGAACCTGTTACTCAAAGTCTGACGGCACATAGTCTCCATCAATATCATGGGGAATTTTGCTGTCTGTCCGAAGCCCGAATCCCCGACTCGGGCGCCCGAGAAATAAAAAGCCCGGGAGTCGATTCCCACCTCACCCTGTATCACAGTAGCCCACACGACTCATCTGGTAGACATGGTGTGGCTATTGCCCTCTCGGAACAAGCAAACCGTGCACTACTTGCATGAGAACCAGTCAAAGACTAAAGCAGGGGTCGGCAACCTTTTTGACTCAAAGGGCCAAAAAAGCAAATATTTGGAAATATATTTCAGTGAGAACCATATGATATATTTTAAGATAAACTAAATTAAATGTGAGTATAATAAGCCTCTGGATTTATTCTTTTAAATAATGTTCTTATAATACTCATTGTTAATGTGACTTCTGGCGCTGCATGGATTCGCTGATGGCTTTGTAGTCTGGTTGGTAGTTGGTTAGGTTAAACTTCATGCAAGCGTTGAGGCTTTCATCCGTTAGACGTGACCGTAGGGTGGACTTGATGTATTTAAGATGTGAGAATGACTGCTCACATGCAT